TCGAGCTTCCTGATTTGAATGTTTTCACGTATATTCAGTCTTTCTTTGTAGTGAATGTGTTTCAGGCTGCGAAATTTACTCTGAGGACTCTTGGTATTAACTTGCACAGGATTTGTTGGTTGTGTTTTACTATGGTTTATGTACTTTCACATTTTAAAAAATTTGAGTATAATTGAGACACGATATTACATTAGTTTCAGGTGTACAACATAGCGAGTCAACAGTTTAAACCTCATGTTGTGCTCGCCACACGTGTAGCTCCCACCTGTCGCCATACAACGCTATTGCGATATCATTGACGAGATTCCCAATGCTGTATCTTTTATTCCCGTGACTTACGCGTTCCATAACTGGAAGCCTGTGGTGTATTTTTAGTGTGTAACTGCTGCTTTGGATTTCTCCTGACCTGAGAATTTTCTTGGAAAGGCATTTGCGTCTGTTCAGGTACATAGTCCTTCTTCTTGCAATTAAATCGATCTTTCGTTGTTGGTTTTTTATTGTACTGTAATGTAGGGAATGCCTGCTTTTGACACCCATTAAGATTTCTTTTATGATCTAATACATATTTAGTTTGTATTTTCTTCTCTATTTGAATAAGAAGCATATTAATTTTCTTATTCAAATTTTCTGCATTTAAATTTTGTTTCTGCCTGACCTGTCACTTTCTGAGACCTCTGTTAAAGGTTCCACTGGGAGAGTGGATCGAATTCATCCCTCAGCTGACTAAATTTTATGTGCAGATGCATATCGATTGATTGATTCTTTTTTATCTAACATCAGTTGGAAGTATTTGTTGGCTTTGGGAAATAGGAGAAATGTATTCAGTGGTAGTGTGAGAGAGGGAATTTTCTAAATTCCTTTTATGATTCTACTTCTGGACAGCTTGTACTGAATGTAATTCAATACACATATACCTATGAAAACGTACTAGCAGATTGCTACCCCTGATAAGTAGGGCTGGGGGACGACCTTTGCTTCCTTTTATATAAAACCACTCTATTTGAATTCTTTTAAAACATGCATGTTTATAAGAATAATATAATAATATATATGATAATAATGTAATATAATGTAATAATAAAAATAATATTTAAAAAGGAATGGAAAAGAGAAGCCATTCCTGAATGATGTGAGGAACTCCATAGATGATTTGCCAGAGGAAAAAATATCAAACTTGCAAACATTCTAAAACCATCCTTTCAAGTCTCTAGCAACTGTTCAAAGAGTATATAGCAAGTGGAGAAACATTAGTTCATGCAAATGTGCTGAATCTCGGTAAGAACCATGAGAGACTGTGGCATTTGAGCCACACATTTTCTCTTCACCTCCTCCCCCTGGCTCAGTATGATGGAAGATCTACTCCGGGTAGCTACAGCTAAGAAGGTGGAGCTCCTTCTCCTGCCCACCCCCTCCCGTGCCCCGCCCCCCAACTCCAGAGCTACCGGTTCTCTGAGGGAGAGGCGGGCTGCCAGAATTTCTTCTCCTCATTCTCAGCGCTACGTTTCAGAAATTCTATTCCAGGCAAGCGCAGGTGAGAGATCTGCTGCTCCCTTACCCCACCTGGCCCCGATTCATCGGACAAAGATAGACTCCAGGTGTGACAGGCTGAGACTACGGGGCCCTAATCGCCCTTGCCCCAGCTCGCTTATAAGGCAGAATTGTCGCACCAGGAAAGTAAAGCTGACAAGATGGAGAGCTACTAGACTGGCCTAGAGTGTTGTTTGTACAGCAGGGGTATCCCTCTGAGGGAAGAGAGCCACCGTCCCCACTACTGGTTCTGGAGCGGCAGGAGGGCTGCCCAAGGGGAAAGGCAGGCTATAACTAGAGGCACCTCTGTAGCTCTCTCTAAGGGAGACTGTCCTGAAGGGGACTGAGTTCATTTGGAAAAGCATGGGAAAGTGCAGGCCTAAGGGTACTGTTGATGAGAATGGAGATCTTGGTAGTGAGCTTTTTAAGAGGGGGCTGGGAGCTCTGAACGTAACAAGCCAAAGGGTAGGGCATTTGGAATTTTGACAGAGCGAAGGAGGGAAAGAGATACCTAAGAAGAGTCTTCCTAGAGTTGGAGCCAGCATCAAAGAGTGACCTGAAAGATTACCCCTGCAAAGGGTCCCAAAGTTCAGAGGAACTGACTGTGGATCCGTTTATTGCCCAGGGAGGGCATTGTCAATAAAAGGAAAGCAATCAGCTGGAAATTAATGGAGGCTAAGAGCTGGAATTGAAACCAGTCGAGGCAGTCTGTGCAGAAGCTTAATGAAACTATCAGGAAAAGAGACTGTGAAAAGCCTCCTGGGAGAAGGGGAGTCAGGGAGACTGTGTGCATGCCCAAGGTCGTGCCCTTTCAGTGGTGACATCAGAAGCTGCACATTGCAGGGAAATAGACTTCACTAATCTGGTCCAGCCACATCACTACACAAATAAATGGGCAAAACAGCAAGTCCAGAGCAACTACTATATTGTAGCAACTCCAGAGCTGCTACAATATAGTACCTAAATCCCCCAGTTTTCACCAAAAATTGTAAGACCCAGAACGAAATAGGGAAGTGTGACCTATGCACTGGGTAAAAGACAAATCAGGCAACAAAAACTGCTTGTGGGAGGACCCAGAATTGGATCTAGCAGAAAGAGACCTCAAAGCACGTATAACAGATCTGGCCCAATAACTAAGGGACACTATGCTTAAAGGAATAAAGGAAGGCGTGATGACGATGTCTCCAAATAGAGACTATCCAGAAAGATAAATTCTAAAATGAAACCAATGGGGGAACTTCTGGATTTGAAGAGGATAATGACTGAAATGAAAAATTCGCCAGAGGGCCTCAAGAGTAAATTTGTTTTGGCAGAAGTAAGAAAGTGAACTTGAAGAGAGATTGGTAGAGGTCAGGCAATCCTAAAATCAGAGAAAAACAAGTAAAAAGAAAAATTAATAGAGCCTTGGAGAAATGCACGTTCAACGTTACATGTCCATCAAAAATATGAGCATACATGCAATGGGGTATACTAGAAGAGCGTAGACCAATAAAGGAGCGTAAAAAATATTCAAAGAACGCGTGGCTGAGAATTGCCTAAATTTGGTGAAAACTAATATGGGCATCTAAGAAGCTAAATGTATTCTAAGTAGGAAAAATCCATAAGGGATTCATACCCAGATTATGTACCACATCAGAGGAAAGTTTTTGAAAACCAAACACAAACCCTTGAAAGCGGCAAGACAAAAATGACTCCTACAAAGGACCTGCAATAAGATTAGCCGATTAGCAGAAAATTCCTCATCAGAAATAGTGGAGGGCAGAAGGCACTGTGCTAATATACTCCCAAGTGCTGAAAGGAAAAAACAATCTTGAACCAAGAAACATATACACATATATTTTATATATATACAAATATAAATATAAATATATATATTTATAGAGGGAGAGCGAGAGCTACTTTTTGCGAATGAAGCTTAAATATATTCCAGATAAATAAAAATTGAGAGAATCTGTTGCTAGCCGAGCCACCTTACAAAAAATACGAAAGGAAGTCCTTCAGGTGGAAAGTAAATGACACTAGAGAGTAACTTGACTTTGCGTGAAGAAAAGTGTCAGTAAAGGTAATGGCGTAGGCAATAATAAATGATAGTATAAGTTAAATATATCTTCCTGCTCTGAAAAGACTTTTAAAAAGAATTGCATGAAAGAATCTGTATAAATTTTATTTATAGGCTAATAGCATACAGCTATGTAATTGACAAAAAAACACGAAGGATGTGGGTGAGAGCAAAGCTATATGGGAGTAAGATAATAACACCAGATGTTAACTTGAATCCAGAGGAGCAAGCAAAGAGAACCAGAAATGGAAAATAAAACCAACTGTATAAACATAGACTCACACTCCTTCTCTCAGCTTTTAAAAAGTACATTTATTTATTTTAAGTTTATTGAAATATATTTGACATATAACGTGATGTAAGTTTACGGTGGACAACATGTGGGTTCTATACATTTATTTATAACCATATGATTGCCATTGTAGTGTTAGTTAATACCGCTCTCATGTCACATAATCTCTCAGCTTTTTTTTAAAGTCATAAAATTACATAAGTAATGATTATACATGGGCAGAAAGGCACTTCCAGTGACTGGTCCCTCTGGCTCAGTAGAGTGAGTAGGCACAAACACCCAGCTCTTAGTTTTTCCCTGTTAAGGGCTGGACTGTGTATCTAACAGCCTAACTTTCCCGGCTGTACGCTGAAGGTCCAGTCTTCCAATTAGCCTGCGTTAGGCATCGGAAGAGACAAAACTCTGTTAGAACTAATAAATTCAGCAAAGTTGTAGGATACAAAATCAATATACAAAAATCAGTTATGTTCCTATACACTAACAATGAAGTATGAGAGCAAGAATTTAAGAAAACAGTCCCATTTACAGTCTCACCAAAGGCAATAAAATCCTTAGGAATAAATGTGACCAAGGAAGTGAAAGAGCTGTATGCTGAAAAGTATGAAACACTGATGAAAAACTTGAAGAAGACACAAATAAATGGAAAGATGTCTTTGTTTTGCGTGGCCCTGGTGAACCTGTGAATGCCGATAAAGATTCCCAGCCCCACTCTTGACCTGTGAAATAGGATTTCTGCTGATGGGCCCAGAAAAAAGTGTTTTTAGAAGCTCCACATGAGTCCTAATGCAGCTAGTCCAAGGGCTTGCATTTGAGAACTACTGGACTTTTTTCTCATTTTTGCCTGTCTATATCTTGTCTCTGGCTTAGATTATAGCACTTGTAACACTTGATTGTATCTGTTTACTACTTTGTATTTCCAGTATTATTCTGATAAGCTTCTTGCCTGGAGGCATAGTAGGAACCTAAACATTCTCACGTGGTGGTGTCTGCCTTTCCTTTGGTCTTTCTCACTGAATATTTTCTCTTCTTCCTATCTTGTTTCTGCTTACCCATTGGGTGGGACTAATCTGGCAGTACTTTGTTCCCAGCCTACCCAACTATATATTTTCTTTCTCCTTACAGGATTTCCCATTTCTAACCCTCAGCTGATCTGCCTGCAAGGAAGAGGGGAAATGCCATGGGTTCCAGATTTAAGGGAAATTGAGGATGAAGAAGACCAAAGCACTTGACCGAGTGAGTGAACAAATTATGAAATAGGACATTTTCCAGGGTATTTTTTGGTGTGGATCCCTTTTTATTAGCCCTGGTGCTTATCTGGGGGACTCCTTTTGGTTTTGTGGTGGTGGTGGTGGTGGTGGTGGTTTTACAAATTTGAAATATTTCTTCAGCTTTGGAAATATTGCTTATATCATAAATGTCTCATCTTCATTTTTTCTCTCCTGTTCTTCTGAACCACCTTAACATTTCTTGCCTTTATGCTTCTCATTTTATTTTCTTCTTCAGCTGTACGTTGTGAGACCCTTCGGTTCAACATCATGAGCCTCAGCTACTTCCTGACTGCTATCCATTCCATCTATTGAGGTTTCTTTTTCTGCAGAGAGAGAGAGAAAAAAAAAAAGGAGACTGGGTGACTTAATGGGAGGAGAGAGAGATGAACAAAGGTTATGTGGAGAAGAGCAACTGATGTGTCAAATGCTATCGCCCAGGCTTGTTATGTCAAGGAAAGGCAGAGGAAGGTGGCAAGTGCTGTGTCAAGAAATGGTCTAAAGCTTCAGGGAATATGGTATCTCAACTGGGTCTCAGCAATGAGTCGGATTTCCGCAGATGAAGGTGGGAGAGGAAGAGCATGACACATGACAGCAACTGCAAAGGCTGTGGCCCTGTGACCAAACGGTGAGGCATGGGGGCATGAGGTGGCGGAGCCAGGGGGCTATCTGCAGTGTTGACTAGATCTATGACTGGGAGAACTATTCCAGGCCAAGTCATAGATCAGGCTAAGTAGGAATGGGGAGGCTGATGCTTCAAAGATGCTGCCAAACTGAAGGGATTTCTGGGAACGTATTACCGAAAATCTCCATTCATCTTACATTCCCTTTCTTTTTCTAGGTCTTTTTGTGTTTGGGCTTACTTCCTTGTGAGGTGGGACATGCCAGCACACTCTGGGATGGAAGTGAGTATTATGTCAATATGACAAACAGCTCAGTGTTTTTTTTAATTAAGAGACTTCGTTTTTTAGAATAGTTTTAAATTTACAGAAATATTGAGCAGATAGCATAGAGGATTCTCATATCATAGCCCCCCATCACAGTTTCCCCTGTTATTAAGATCTTGCGTTAGTGTGATACATTTGTTATAATTAATAAACTAGTACTAACACATTATTATTAACGAAGTCTGTAGTTTACATTGACATTCAGTCTTTGTGTTGTACATTCGGTGGGTTTTGAAAATGCAGAAAGTCATGTATCCACCATTACAGCATCAAACAGAATAGTTTCATCATCCTAAAATTCCTCTGTGCTTCACCTATTCATCCCTCCGCTACCAACTCCCGCTACATTGGACCACTGCTAGCCACTGCTAGTTCTGCCTTTTCCAGAATAGCATATAGGTGGAATCAGGCAGTTGTAGCCTTTTCAGACTGGCTTCCTTTCCTTACCAAAATGCATTAATGCTTCCTTCATGTCTTTTCATGTCTTGATAGCTCATGACTTTTTATCCCTGAATCATATTCCATTGCATGGAATAGCACACTTTGTTTATCCATTCATCTAGAGAAGGGCATCTTAATCGCTTGCCAGTTTTGACAGAAAGCTGCACATTTGTGTGTAGGTTTTTGTGTTGACATAGGTTTTCTTTTTCTTTTAACTGCTTTATTGAGGTTATGACTGACATACAGAAAGCTGTAGATATTTAATGTATACAGCTTGATGCGTTTGGAGGTAAGTATACACCTCTGAAACTATTATTACAGTCAGTGCCATAAAATCATCCATCACCTTCAAAAATTTCCTCTTGCCCCTGAAACCCAGGTTTGACTCCAAGGTTGAATTCTTTTTTTTTTTTTTTTTTTTTTAATTTTTATTGAAATTCTAGTTAGTGAACATACACTGTAATATGGTTTCAGGAGTGGAATTCAGTGATTCATCACTTACATACAACACCCAGTGCTCATCACAACAAGTGCCCTCCTTGATCCCCATCACCTATTTGACCCATCCCCCTCCCACCTCCGTTCACCAACCCGCAGTTTTTTTCTCAATCATTAAGAGTCTCTTATGGCTTGTCCCCCCCACCCCACCTCCTGTTTCCCCCTTCCCATATGTTCATCTGTTTTGTTTCTTAAATTCCACATGTGAGTGAAATCACATGGTATTTGTCTTTCTGTGACTGCCTTATCTTGCTGAGCATAATACACTCTAGCTCCATCCACATCGCTGCAAATGGCAAGATTTTATTCTGACACAAGTTTTCAATCAGTTTGGCATATCCCTAGGAATGTGATTTCTGTATCGTATGATAAAACTATGTTTAAATTTGTAAGGAACTGCCAAAATGACTTCCAAAGTGGCTGTGCCATTTGGCATGTCTTCCCGCAATGAATGAGGGTTCCTGCTGCTCCACACCCCTATCAGCATTTTGTACATCAGGTTTGTTTTTGTGTTTTATTTTTTTATTTTTAGCCACTCTAGTAGATGTATAGGGGTATGTCATTGTTTTAAATTTCAGTCCCCTTATGACGTAGATGATGTTGCCTATTCATATGCTTGTTTGCCTTTTCTATATCTTCTTTGGTGAGGTATATTTTCAGCTCTTTTCCCCATTTTTAAATTGCATTATTTTTTTCTTAATGTTTCGTTCTGAAAGGTCTTTGTGTATTTGGAAATGAGGTCCTTTGTCACATATGTTTTGTAAATATGTTTTATCATTCTGTGGCTTGTCTTTATGTTGTCTTAACAGGGTCCATCACGAAACAGAACTTTTTAATTTTACTAAAGTCCAACTTCTCAAATTTTTATTTCGTTGTGTTATACTGAAGTGTCATGACCAAACCCAGGGTTATCTAGATTTTCTCCTGCGCTGTATTTTATACGTTTTCCAGTTTTGGTTTTACATATAGGTCTATGATCCATATTGGGTTAATTTTTATGAAAGATACCAGGTCTGTGTCTAGCTCCTTTTCTTCCTTTCCTTTTCTTTCTTTCTTTCTTTCTTTTTTTTTTTTTTTTGGCATATGGACATCCAGTTCCTACAGTGCCATATATTGAAAGACTGTTCTTTTATCACTGAATTGTCATTTGACTTTATTTTTTTTAAAATTTTATTTTATTATGTTATGTTAGTCACCATACAATACATCATTAGTTTTTGATGTAGTGATCCAGGATTCATTGTTTTCATATAACACCCATTGCCCCATGCAGTACGTGCCCTCCTTAATACCCATCACCGGGCTAACCCATCCCTCCAACCCCCTCCCCTCTAAAACCCTCAGTTTGTTTCTCGGAGTCCATAGTCTCTCATGGTTCATCTCTCCCTCCGATTTCCCCCCTTCATTTTTCCCTTCCTTCTCCTAATGTCCTCCGTGCTATTCCTTATGTTCCCTAAATAAGTGAAACCATATGATAATTGACTTTCTCTGCTTGACTCATTTTACTTAGCATAATCTCCTCCAGTCTGAATCCATGTTGATGCAAACGTTGGGTATTCATCTTTCCGATGGCTGAGTAATATTCCGTTGTATATAGGGACCACATCTTTTTTACCCATTCATCTGTTGAAGGGCATCTCAGCTCTTTCCACAGTTTGGCTATTGCGGACATTGCTGCTATGAACATTGGGGTGCAGATGGCCCTTCTTTTCACTACATCTGTGTCTTTGGAGTCAATACCCAGTAGTGCAATTGCTGGATCATAGGGTAGCTCTATATTTAATTTCTTGAGGCACCTCCACAGTGTTTTCCAAAGTGGCTGTACCAACTTGCATTCCCACCAACAGTGTAAGAGGGTTCCCCTTTCTCCACGACCTCTCCAGCATTTGTTGTTTCTTGTCCTGTCCATTTTGGCCATTCTAACTGATGTAAGGTGGTATCTCAGTGTGGTTTTGATTTGCATTTCCCTGATGGGTAATGATGATGAACATTTTTTCATGTGTCTGTTAGCCATTTGTATGTCTTCTTTGGAGAAGTGTCCGTTCATGTCTTCTGCCCATTTTTTGACTTGATTATTTGTCTTTTGGGTGTTGAGTTTGAGAATTTCTTTATTGATCTTGGCTACCAGCCCTTTATCTGTATCTTCTCCCATTCTGTGGGTTCCCTCTTTGTTTTGTGTGTCTGTTTTTTTTTTAAAGATTTTATTTTTTATTTATTTGACAGAGAGAGACACAGCAAGAGATGGACCACAAGCAGGGGGAGTGGGAGAGGGAGAAGCAGGCTTCCCGCAGAGCAGGGAGCCCGATGCGGGGCTCGATCCCAGGACCCTGGGATCATGACCTGAGCTGAAGGCAGACGCTTAACGACTGAGCCACCCAGGCGCCCCTGCCTCTTTGTTTTGTTGACTATTTCCTTTGCTGTGCAGAAGCTTTTTATCTTGATGAAGTCCCAAAAGTTCATTTTTGCTTTCGTTTCACTAGCCTTGGGAGATGTATCTTGAAAGATGTTGCTGTATCCGTTGTCAAAGAGGTTACTGCCTATGTTCTCCTCTAGGATTTGGATGGATTCCTGTCTCACATTGAGGTCTTTCATCCATTTTGAGTTTATCTTTGTGTATGGTGTTAGAGAATGTTTGAGTTTCATTCTTCTGCATGTGGCTGTCCAGTTTTCCCAGCACCATTTATTGAAGAGACTGTCTTTTTTCCATTGCATGTTTTTTCCTGCTTTGTTGAGGAGTATTTGACCATAGAGTTGAGGGTCCATATCTGGGCTCTCTATTCTTTTCCATTGGTCTATATGTCTGTTTTTGGGCCAGTACCATGCTTTGTCTTGGTGATCACAGCTTTGTAATATAGCTTGAAATCGGGCAACGTGATGCCCCCAGCTTTGTTTTTCTTTTTCAACATTTCCTTGGTGATTCGGGGTCTTTTCTGACTCCATACAAATTTTAGGATTGTTCCAGCACTCTGAAAAATGTCACTGGAGTTTTGATCAGGATGGCATTGAAGGTATAGATTGCCCCAGGTTGCATAGACATTTTAACAATGTTTATTCTTCCGATCCATGAGCATGGAATGTTTTTCCATCTTTTTGTGTTTTCTTCAATTTCTTTCATGAGTGTTCTGTAGTTCCTAGAGTATAGATCCTTTACCACTTTGGTTAGGTTTATTCTGAGGTATCTTATGGTTTTTGGTGCTATTGTAAATGGATTCGTTTCTCTAATTTCTCTTTCTACAGTTGCACTGTTAGTGTATAAGAAAGCAACTGATTTCTGTGCGTTGATTGTGTATCCTGCCCCATTACTGAATTGCTATATGGGTTCTAGCAATTTTGGGGTGGAGCCTTTTAGATTTTCCACATAAAGTATCATGTCATCTGCGAAGAGAGAGTGTTTGACTTCTTCTCGGCCAATTTGCATACCTCTTATTTCTTTTTGTGGTCTGATTGTTGTTGCTAGGACTTCTAGTACCATGTTGAACAACAGTAGCAAGAGAACAGTAGATCAGAGCAACGAAACTAGAAGCTGGTTCTTTGAAAGAATTAATAAGATCGATAAACCACTGGCCAGACTTGACCAAAAGAAAAGAGAAAGGACCCAAATTAATAAAATTATGAATGAAAGGGGAGAGATCATGAGTAACACCAAGGAAATAGAGTCAATTATTAGAAACTATTATCAACAACTATATGCCAATAAACTGAGCAACCTGGATGAAATGGATGCCTTCCTGGAAACTATAAACTGCCAAGACTGAAATAGGAAGAAATTGACAGCCTGACTAGGCCAATAATCAGTAACGCGAGTGAAGCAGTGATCAAAAACCTCCCCAAAAACAAGAGTCCAGGGCCTGATGGATTCCCTGGGGAATTCTACCAAACATTCAAAGAAGAAATAATACCTATTCTCCTGAAGCTGTTTCAGAAACTAGAAACAGAAGGGAAGCTTCCAGACTCATTCTATGAGGCCAGCATTACCTTAATCCCCAAACCAGGCAAGGACCCCATCAAAAAGGGGAATT